GTGAAGTGGCACTGTTGGAAAGGAAAACTGATGCCTAAGAAAAAATTACCTTGCCTGAAATTAAACTGTGGTCAATAAGACACCATGACTGGGATCAACCTCATCTACTGTTATGCCTACAGTATGGTTACTTGACTTCTAAAGGAGGATAGGCTCTCTTAGGGCCTAATTCACTCTACTTATTTTCAGGATCACCTGTAAGATAAGATGGATTTCATTTCAGAAATACCTAGTTTTTCTATGGATTAGGGTTTACAGAATGGCATACTCTAATGTGGATGACTAATGTAGATATTAAGTTAGATGAATTCTAGCATGCCCATCTAAATTAACAAGGTCAGTAGGGAAATAAGATTCCTTCTGCACTGTGTTGTTCCCAAGGCAGTGTGAAGGGCAGACTGGGTACCTCTGTTGGCCTGATGAGAAGTATATACAGTGCTGGTAGTGACTCCATGATTGAAGTGTCAAACTGTGTGCCCTAGAGAGAACGTACCTCCACAATCTTGGCACGTTTATCAAGACCTCTCACAGAGCAAGAGGCTTTTGAGTAAGGATCAGGCTGTAAGCCTTGTCAAAAGCCATGGTGTTTCTTAGGAACCTGTGGATAACTTTCAGGGCCTGTTCAGCCACTGTCTCAAAGTTGTAAAAGTCCCAGCTGCATATGTATCAAAGGCTGGCCGATGAATTAACTTTTATTTGTCAACTGTCATTCAAATAATTAAATTCTAGTTCTCCTGAAATGGCCAACAGAACTGCTGGTAACGTAAATTTGGTAGTATCATGCTCCAGGTGTGGAGAAATAATTAGTAATACATGGTTTATGAGGTACCTAAAAAGCCTGTGCAATTACCTGGAATATTTGCATTATGTATGAATGAGTTTCATCTCCTAAAAGAAATAACACCATGCCACAAAGCCGAAGCACTCAGAACACTTAAAATACTGGTATGTAATTTTTCTGCAAAAACAGGGCATTATTTACAGAACATATTTCCATACATATTTCCTTTGCTCTTCAGGCACTGGAGGTTTTCCTGATTACCGGTTTATTTAGAGGTTCTTCACAAGATATGGTGTGATCTGTGAGAAACCAATGACTAGAAATGGTACTGGATTATGGTCTTATCACCACAGTGAGACAGACCAATCACTAATTGCCTTTGTACATATTTAACTGAATCCTCCCTTGTCTTTGAATGGTCTATGCTACAACTATCTCACAGATAGTTGACTCACTTACTAATTTGTACTTTGGTCTTCGATGGCCTTGATTATTTTTATGAATAAAACAGGCTACTAAATCCTGTAAAAAGAAATCTTAACATAGTACTGCAAATGGAAAGGTGTTCCTCTCAAGACAGACCAAGAGAATAAGGCATCCTTTTTTATTACAACAGTACCACAGTGCTACTGTATTCTTTAAGTGTTTTCTATGTTTGTATATAGCAGATGGAAAACCTGAGAGAAGAATTCTGTACTAATAAAGCAGTGGCTTGGATACTTCTCTTGAGATTAGCTGTGTCCACATTGTCCATCTGACAGCCATTCCAAATGCTAAAAATATTCTACACTCTTTTACAAATGAAATTACGTATATTTTCTGGAGACCTGTGCCAAACATTTGTCTAGAAACATCAAACCATATATGCTTACAGAAGTAAGCAACACTATAAATCACATTTGCAAACATGTTTTCCAGAGCTTATTTATCTATAACAATTAAGTCCATTGTAGAAAGAAGTCAAAATTTTGATCCTTTCATAAACAGGAAGCTATATGGATTTCTGAAGTTTCTAACTGACTTTTTCTGATAGCTCTACAATGTATTTGAGACCTGCAGGTTTTAACTGGGTCTGGTTTATACAGCAACTGGCTGAAATAAAAACATTTTAGTAACTTAAGGGAGGTTTTATATAGTCAGAAATATACATTAGTTCTACACAATCAAATTGCTGTATACTCCTAAAAGATACTGAAAATTAAAATTATCACTTTAATACAGTAAAAGATAGAAAAGTTGAAAAAAATATACTTATCTGTCACTTACAGTTAGGGTATTCTCTCCAATTATAAATAACTCAGGGTTATGTGTATCAATTTTTGCTTCTACAGAGAGTTGTAAAGTTTGGAAAGTTAACTGAAAGAAAAGATTAAAACAACTGTAAAGCTCTGTTATAAGGCAAATCATTTAGAATGTAGACATCCTAAGATGATTCTCTTGTTTTGAAATGAAGACTTCAGAACCAGAAAAAAACCATAGTAATAAGAATATTAAAATGCTCTTTTTATTTGTCCCTAGCTAACACATATATCAAAGTAATAATATATCAGTAATCCACACTTAGCAATGACACCGGGGAACTGTTTTTTTTTCTTTCTTTAACATACAGTTCAAGAAAAAAAGAAGGAATTGTTTATATAACCCTTTTTATAGTTATTTCAAAGCTGTCACTGCTGCTAGCAGGGAAGAGATGAGGAAAAATAACAGTGAGAAAGGGAGACAGCAACAAAAGACAGATGGAAATAAATCTCTGGCCTTTGAAAGAAATGGAAACTGGATGTTCTTTTACTTCCCCCCCTCACCTCTATCCAATGCTTCTGTTTTTCTCCGTTTATTTTTTTCCTATCACTGTGTGTTTCTCTTCACTTCTCAAATCCTGAGATGGCTCTCTCAGCTTAAACAGAGAAGATGACAAAAAGCTTAAGCCAGTTCCCAGATGAAAAGGGACCTTGTGCCAGACCCCACTTCCCTCCGTGGATGTACTGGGAGGAAAGGAGACACTGACAGCTCACTGCTGCTCTTCTCCTACAGCACCAGGAATGGCCTCAGGTTTGTGGGAGCACAGGAGCACTTGCCTCCTCAGCCATTCCTCTGGTACCAGGGGCTTGACACAGGAAACACGGGCAATCGTGGGTCTGCAGCAGCTCACACACACCGAATTGACCGTCCCTGCCCCATAAGTTACTGCACCTCTGCACTGTGGCCATCTGCCCAAGTGGTCTGTTCTGCACACCTAAAAGTTTGGAAACCCACCTTAGTGCTACTCAAGGAATCTCAATTCCTAAACACATCTTTTCTTTGCTTAGCAGGTACTGGCAAGCTCACTATGCCCTTCTTGGACAATGGCTCATTGCCACTAAATAAAAAGGCTGATGATGTGCATTATTGAGTGAGTGCTTTCAAGAGTATTTGAAGTGAACTTTGACTATTAAGAAAAAATTACAAAATGGGAAATGCAAGGAAAACTGTGGCATATGATTTTTCCTTCCCATCAGCCAGTAGTAAACAAATTATTTCCACTCACTTTCTTGTGAGGGTACAACCTTTTGTTCAGGTCTCCCCCTTCTCTGTACCTGACAGCACTAACAAACAGTCTTGACCCAGATGATTTAAAAAATACTGTCTTTAAAGTTTGACAGACTCTTTTTGTTGCACACTTGCATAATGCACTTTACAATATCAACCTGACCTTTTCCTTTCAAGAGTTGAATGCTGACAAGAGCCCTGCTGTTAAATATCAATACCTGCCACAGGACTTGCCAGACAAACTAAGAGGACTTCGTCATGTTCCTGATGCTTTACGCAAACCCAGGACTCCAAGACTGTTTGGTTGGTTGCCTAGCTAAGAAACAAACATGGTATAACTTCACAAGTCTGTTAACTCAGAATGAGTTATATCCTAGAGGACACATGGTGATTTAAAATGGGAAAGCCAAGATATTATTGATAGGTATTTTTAAGCATCCTGTAGGTCTCTTGGACTGTTTCTTTGTCATCTAGAAAATCAATTAAAAAGTTTTCCACAATTTCTATAACAAATAAAACTGGCAGCACTAACAATGAATTTTGATGTGACTTAAAATGATCACTATGTAGGCTGTGATGTTCAATAGCTCAAAGCACCATTATTTGACAGGCTATGATGATATTGTACTCTTCTCTCCTAGGATGAGTTTTGTGGAAACTGCAGTTATCCTGAATGAATTTAACAGATGTAGGAAATGGTTTTTTCAGCTATTAAGGTTGCATTATCATAGCACTTTCTTAGATTGTGTGCTGGACTGAAGTTTTACCAGCTCCATTATGCAGCCTCACTACTTTACTTTTAGGTTCAAGTTTTCAATCTGGAAAAACACCTAGAGCAATGGAAAGTAAAGGAAGGTCATTCTAGATTGTAGGGTCTCTTTACTGAACTTTGAATATTATTAGGAGTTCAGAAATACTTTGAAACACATCCCTCATAAAGATGCAGCTGATACTCACAGCAGCAAAGGTTCCATTCCAGATTTGGGTGGACACGTTCACAAAGTACTCTCCCTTCAGCATGATGTCTTCCAGTTTGCATGTGATGGCACTGCACTTCACATTCTTACAGTTCTTCCAGGGGAAAAAGCAAGAAGAGGCAAGAACATGCATTAAAAACACATTTTAAAAAATATTCTTTTAACATCCAGACTTTTTTTCCCTTTGCCATTCTGTGCCTACAAATTAAGTGCTTGCAGGCTGTGAAGAACGTGCACTTTTTCTTCTACCTAAAACAGATGTAGTATGTGTGAAAACATCCACAGGCTGAACTCCTGCACTGTAAATGTGGAATGCCACCCCATCACAGCTTTCCTCACAAGTACAGCAATGGGCTCATGAGGATCAGCTCTGCGTCCCTGTCCTGCTTACGGCAGGCCAGAGTCTTACTCACCAGTTCTTTGGAAGTTCTGAAGTTCTCTTTTGTGAAAGATGGAGAATAAGGTCTTTTCCCTATTTGCAGTGGATTTATCTGAGCTTCACAAGTAACACCTCTGGCCTAGGAAAGACGGCAGGAATGAGACTGGATAACATCATACTCAGAACTTTATAGTAATCTTAACAATATACACTTCTGGGATGAGATGGCAGCTGTGAAAGGTTTGAACTGAATTATGCAACACTGAATTCTTTAGGAAACTTAAGAGAGACTGTATGTAGTTCTGGTCAGAATTAAATGGCTTTTAAGGTGATTTTCTTTTTTTTTTCCTTTAGATGGACCTGAAGGGTTCATCCTGATCTAAAAATTCCATTTTTAGGTTAACTTTTTCAGGAACTTGGAGAAAGACCAAACTGAAAAGATCCAGAATCACTCAAAAACTCAGCTGGGAATGTAACCACCTGTAGTGGTTTGAACCTTGTTTTCCCCCAGAGGCTGAAAAAGTGGTAACCCCCAGGGGTGGAGACCCCTGGAAGTTTTGAAGTTCTGCCCAATTAGCGCTCCTGCAGAAATGTAAACATATCACAAGCACCGGAAGAGAAGGGGTTGTAGTTTGGTTGGTAGAAGAAGTTGCCATGTTGTGAGACCACGAGGAAAGGGGCCCGGAGCCCCTCGGGGCCTCTGGCCCCCCCCAGCCCCAGTTGGGAGCTACAGAGACAGAGCAGAAGCGGTGGCAGTGTCCAGAGACTCTGGATAAGAGCCAGGACAGATAAGAACTGAACCGGAGGAAGCAGCAGAAGAGAGAGCCCGCAGCAGAACTTCAGAGTTCTGGGGTAGGAACTGTACCAAACCCCCAAACTCCTTGAAACCTCCTGGAAGGAGGAAGATGATGGACTCTTGCTTGAAAGAGCCTTGGAGTGCTACAGCACTTGCAGAGAGGAGCTGAGAAGCTCAAAGGCGTCCTGGGAAGCTGGACCGGGACAGAGAAGGAATGCGGGGGGGGGTTGACCTTGGCCCCCCTCGCTGCTGCTGCTAAGCTAGCAGCCTTGAGGCAGAGCACAGAGCTCTGCAAAGGGGAATTTGAATTCCCTGAGGAAAGGGACTGCCACGAAGACCCCTGAGCTTCGTGGTATGACGTGGTGACGCGAGCTTGTCCCTGCTACGCAGTCCACGGAAGAGAAAGACCCTCGTTTTGGAGACGACGGTCTCCAAGGGGCTTGGAGACCCCCTTGTGTGTATTGAACAGAGATCCAGCTACAACAATCCAGTTACTGCTGCATGCATGAGATGAGGAGACCTGCTGCCTTAGAAGAAGCTGCTGCCCTGAGAGACTGGAAGGGATCTGTCCTTCTTTCCCTCCTGGACTTTTATTTGGAGGGGAGAAGAGATCTGATCCTTTGTAAATACATATGTCGTGGTAGAGATAGTTGTGATCGTGTGTATAATGTGTTATAGTATAAGTATTTATTTGTACAGTCATTGTAATATATTCCCTTTCCCCCATTCTGAGTCTGGCTGTGTTTTGTCTGGAAAAACCCATCTCACATTGGGTTGAGATGTGGGAGGGGGGATGGAGCAAGGGAATTGGATTTTGGGGCTATCTCAAACCATGACACCACCTCTGCCAAGTAACAGGCTAGTATACTGATCACATCGTGGTCCTCCTCTATGAGGAAGGGACAAGGAGAAAGGGCATGGATTCTGTGAAGGGAGATAATTATGTTTATAGTACTGGTTAGCCCCCAAAACACAGTTTGGTTCTACACCTGATCTGTGGTGACCGTAGTTAGGTACATCAGTGGGTTGTCTTTACTGGTCAGCTCTGGAAGATAGATTTTTACAGATGCCATCTTTACTGGAATACTTCCTGTTGTTACCTGCAAAGCAAATAACTCGGAGTTAATTCAGGTAGCTATGATTACATACACATAAATTATTTCATATAGCAGGGAAATCAGAAGTCATGGATGAGTATGGAAGAACTGGACTCCTTTTGCATCAATATTTTTTGTACTAAGACACTACAATAGTAGTTAAATTATGTGAATAGTAAAGCAGAAAGTGTACAGTACAGCTTCAGGTTCCTGTTTCCTTAGCAAAGCTCATATTAACTGCATGGAATATGTTTTGAAAGCAAATATTCTACCACAGCCAATAGGCCTTTTTAGTCCTTTGGAGCAGCAGTTACAGGAATGTAAATGGAACATAATTTAAGTTTCTTCCACGTTGCATACTTGGATCTAAGTTTCTTCTGAGTTATGTAATAAGTGCTGTGATTTGGTTAGTTCTTGCAACTGCTTTGAGTACTTAACCCTTGCCAAACTTCAAGTTTCAAAGTTCCAGCCTGCAAAGACTTGTTTTCCTATATCAAACTGGCAGAAGACTATGAAAAAACAGTCTAAGTTGGCCTAAAGTTAAGCATTAACCATCTTCTAAGTATGTAAACTTAGACCAATCCCTCCCCCATTCTACTTGTGCAGTAATTGCAAATGTCATCCTTAACCTTATGAAGACTCCAAGCATTTATTCCCCATCTATTTACAATCTTTTTTCTTATTTGATCTATTCAAAAGCCTCAAAATCAGGAGTGTTGTTCAACTAGGTTTTGGGAGCAGGCTACAGAGGGAGCTAAGGCAACTTCTCGAACCAGAACAAATACATTTACTAACCTTAATTGAGAAGTTGAATGTGGGGCCAATATCTTCAAAATTATTCACAGTGGAAGGAATGTTATGACCAGAGTATACTTCATAAAAGTTGATGTTGGCAAGCCTAGTTAACAACCAAAAAACAATACATTTCAATTTGGCAGCTGCTTTGAAAACATATGTTACTGGATATGCCTTTGTGAAACACGTCAGAAGTACAGTCAGAGGAAAAATCAGTCACTTGTACTGCTGTTTGAATTTTACAAAGTTGGTTAGGAAAATACGCAGTGCACTGAAGCCCAGAGCTGGAGCAAGAATGTAAAGGTAAGACAGGAGAGCTGCAGGGGGTGCAGGCTCTGCTCAGGCTTCTGGACTCTGTAGTGTTTCAGTGCAATACTGCAGAGCTCCTTTCCTGGACACCAACTGCAGCTTTCAGCCTTGCAGTTGCCTCCTTCTTCAGAAAGAGCCCCCTGGATACACTTATAATGGCAAATACTAACAGACTCTGAGGGAGATCCTGGGCCTTAATGTCATGGACCACAGGTAGGCTTGTTTTCATACTGCCTATGTGTGTAAACACATATCACCTTGCTTGTGTACATGATACATATTGCATAGCCCTCAGTCCTCTCCGGGTCACTTTCTTTAGTAATTACGAGGTTTAAAATCCAAAATTTCCAAAGTAACATAAGGGTGGTTTCAGCCCACCAAAGCATGGAATTACATGTGTGTGACAGACGGACATGGTGCGAAGGCCTGTGGGTGCTCAGGGAGCTCAGCCAGTTGGAACCATGCTCAAAGACAATGAAAGCATCCCTGTGCAGTGCATTACATCCACATGCCTGCTACCTGTGAGCAGCTCCTCTGCTGAATCATCCCAGAATTGCATCTGCTCTTCATTATTAGCTTTTCTTAGGAGGCAGTCAAATTTGAGCGGTTGAAAAGCAAGCTGGCAGGTGAGTTAATATGAATTAGGGGCTAATACAACTCTTACATCAACTCTTCCTGTAACACAAGCTGCAAATCCCTCCTCTTTATCAGTGCTGCTCTTCATGTTTAATCTGGGTAACATCTGCACCCACAATCCCAAATTAACATGTATGCAGTCTCAATGAGGTGCTTCCTGATCAGTTACGATCATCCATGTGACACTGTGGATCCTTTTTGATTCTCCACACTTCCTCCCATGGCCCTTAACTTGAAGGACCTCCTCACAGGGACTCCAAGGAAAACCCACATTACACATTTTCTGCTTCCTTTTTACTAAAGACTCCAGTCTTTCTAAGATGCACAGTGTTAATGTCTTTGTCCTTGCAGGAGTCAATGATTAGACTTATTCCTACATCTTCTCCTAGGAACTCTAGAGATTATCCCTAAAAAGGCTTTACTTCAGCAAAACAAAAATTTTTTCTCAACCTTTGTATTTTAAGGTATTGCTCCTCAGCTATAATATCCGCCTTTAACTAGTTTCAGGTAAATACTTCCTAAGCCAAAGAGTGTAAATTATGCTAGGGCTTAATATGTATTTCATTTAGTTCTTTTAGACTGATTATCTCCAAAATAACTAATCCTTTTCTGGCAGTAGGGATTCCTTCATGCCTTTACTTGCACATGAAATTGCATTTTCTCATACTCAGGAGATGCACCTGAATTCAACCTCCTGTTTTTTTCCTTTTATAGACTCCATTCCTTGCCTCTTCTGAAGCACCGTATTTTAGTCCATATTTCTCAGCTAATTAAACTTGCTTATTCAAGTTTACATCATCTGAATTTCCTAAGAAGCTGCCTAAGTTGCTATGCTAGTCCCTAGACAGATGATCCTGCTGTCTCTGTGCCTCTGCTACCTTTATTAACAAACATTCTGCTTCTGATATGGTCTCATGCACCTTTCTCAGGGAGTTGAAATAACTCGCACTCAAATGCTTTTCTGCAATTGAAATAATCTCCAAAATTCTGCATGACTCTAGAACTGGTGCACCAAGTCAGCTAGCCTCCAATATTCCAAAACCCCTTCTGCAAACCAAGTTATAACACTTATCTTCTATGCTGCAGTTCCTATTCCAGCTCAGGTCATCCTACACAGCAGTCAACAGTTCTCATAGCCATCGTGATCTTTGAATATTAGTTTCCTGAATCCATTGTTGCTGTGCATTTTTAAGCAGCTTTCTCTTTGTCAAATTTCTGTCATTCTTTGAATAGCTACTCTTTATTTTCTATCAGTTTGTATTTACTAGTTTTGGAATCCTTTGGGATGCAAAAGCATTTTTTCCACCATAAATTGGTGACCAAGTGCATCAAATATAACTGCATGTAGTTTATCCTAGAAATTCAGTACTTGGGAAAGATAAATAAATATTTTCTTTGATGAAAAGTAAATATCCTACTTTGATACGATACAAAATACAGTGTATTTTTTTTTCAGTTCTAACTGAAATGATTCTTTTTTGGAACAGACTAATTACTGCTTGAGTGCATCCCCAATCACGAGGGCTTTCCAAGGCCCAAGATAAGAGGTTTCAAGGGCACAATATAAAGATCAGTCTTAAAGGGATTTTTGTTGGTCTCTCTCCCCCTGCCCATTCAGCTGCCTCTCCTTAAACATCACCCTTCCCAGGGTGAATGAACCCTCTTGCAACAGCCCCAACTTACCTTCTGCAGGGAGGGGAAAGGGCTGGCACCAGGCTGGCACCAGGCAGAGCCAGAGTCTGGTAGGGTGCATGGGAAAACAAGGTGTATGGCTCCCGATGCCAGTGCAGCTGTAGCAAGGGAGAACTGCCATATACACTTCAGATTTTAGTTCAAATCGTTACCTCAAACTGCTAAAAAGTTTATATTTTTGGCCTTGGTTCAGCAGAGTTGTCCATAGTTTTTTTCTTTTTTTCTTCCTCTCCTTTGCTGAGAGTTTGGGTTGGAGCACATTTTTCCTTTTGCTGTTGTTCTTCTGTTTAGTTATGATCACTTTAACTCCTGGTTTGATCCAATGTCATTAGATTTGAGCCCAGAGGCCCAATCTTATTATACAGTAAATACTATTTATATTATTTATATTATCAAAACCAGAAGCACTTTTATACCAATTCCATTCATGTGAGCATCTGTAACAATTATCCACAGGTAAACATGGATCCAGAACTTCCATAATTTTTTACATGTTGTTGGAAGGACATACAAATCTTCTACTACTGATGAAGTCAGAATTTTTTATGACTTCCAAAACAAACCCCCAAAATTTTCAGTATATTTTCACTGGCTTTGCAAGACTGTTATTGTATTCAAGTACCTTGACAAAATGACAGTTACTCTTTACGTTATTCAGCATACCTTGTGAAGTGAATTTCTGCATCATATCGCAAAGAAATTGATAAGATGACCTGGTTGTCCAATTCTTGCTCTTCCTTACTTTCACTGTTCATCAAAAGACATTTAAGTGTTATAATACTGTTTTATACAAATAAATTATTAATACCTAACTTGCTTTCATATGATTATATACTTTACCTCAATGCACGAAAGCTTATGTCTGCCACATTCTGAAGATTTTTAAGGTTAAAATCAAAGCTAATATCAAAGGATACCTATGGAAAAGACAAGGAACACATACTGAGTTGATGGTGCAACATCCAAAGGCGTTCCCAATAGCGCCACAATTATTGATATGTGCAACAATCTAGAACTCCCTCTGTATCTGAATTCTCTGTAATATTTCAGTAATTTCTTACTACTCCAGAGTTGATTTGTTCTTGTGTTCCCCTACAAGTTGGCATCTTACATAAACATGAACTATTTGCATTTTAAAATTGTGTACAACTCGCTACAATCTGCAACAAAAAGTGTTCAGGATTCCTTCAATTAAATGCTTTTAAACTCTAGCACTGACACAAGCTCGTGTTCACTCTTTTCTTCCATTTGTTCCAGCAGGTCCACTTTGACCAATTCCATTAAAAATTCAGAACAAAGTTAACTTTTTATATGCAAATTTTTTTATATAATTCTGCATTCCCCACCACAGAATATCATGTTTCTATTCTTTCTAGCAAGTTTCTTGTTGCTCCAGTTTATTGTGTTAGAAGCTAGAACCCTGCTTCTGTTCTGCCTTTGAGTAATAAAA